TTAGAACAATTATAATCAGTTGAATAAAATCACTTTATTTTAAATGAAAATTTTGTTTGAAAATTTGCGTTGTTACAAATTTGGCCATGACCTAAGCCCAATCCTTTTAGTCCTCACTAAGGCCCATTAAGTCCCCAAATGGCCCAAATTTCTAAATTGGGCCCAACTCTTCAATTGTGCTTTCCTTTCAAGCCTAACTAGTCCGTAGGCCCTTAACTGGCTTCTGAAGGCCCATCACGACCCACTATTGCTTTGTCCAAGACTTGGCCCAAAACGAAGCCCAATAACAAAACCTACTGACTTATCGTACCTGTTTGTACATTGTGTGTACTGCTAAAATGGCTTGTACACTGCGCGTATTAGCGTGTACGCCCATCGTACTCTCCTGTCAAGCTCTATTCTCCAAAATTGCTTAATCCCTGAAGACACTACGTCCAAACTACAGATCTTTTGTCCCATGCTACGTCCTAACCCATAAAGTTGATCACTTGGTGGCTAGTAACCCCCCAAATGAGCCCAACACTAAAAATGACAATGAAATTTCATGGATATGGTAGATCTATTGCGTGGCTTCATAAAAGCCTTAAAGCTTGCAACTTTACAGCTAAAGGAACACATTGAGCTTCAAGGGTGGCAACCCTAAGCTCAAGAACGACATTGCATGGTCAAGATCCAAACTTTGGACCTAAGAAGGTCAAAATCTACAAAACCCAATATCTATGATTCTAGAAGGAAAGGTAGGAGCTTTATACCTCTTATGGGTGCCAAATGATGTTCTTGATCCAAATCCTTGAGCTCAAGATACCCAAGTGCTTCTTCTCCAACCTCTCCTTTCTTCTTCCAAGCCTTTCTTCACTAAAATAAGCCCAACTATGTCAAACACACACAAGAAGGGAGTATGAAACGAACTAGGGTTTCTTTGGATGTGAAGGATAGGTGAGGAGGCCAAAGCGGAGGCTATAATGGGGTATTTATAGGTCTTAAACCCTAAAAATTAGGGTTTGGCATTTGCTCGTGTACGCTTGGCGTACCTCCTGGTATGCTCGCGTACAGCCCCAAGTCCCTCGAATCCAATGTGGCCACTACGCCCTGCGTACACCAGGTTACGCCCAACGTACGACTTATGGGCAGCCCAACTTCTTGGCCCAAAATTTATAAGGTCCACTCCTAAGGGTCCATTACCCAAATGCTAGACCAAAGCCAAATATAAATTTACATAATTAAATAATACCTCGAGAGACGGATGTTAAAAAAACTTTGGGATTTCATTGTCAATACAGAAACGTAAGCATAAACAGACCTTACATTCATTTATACTAATGATTTACATATCCTTTAATCTCTTAGTGTAATGTGTCTTCGTATCGATTCATGTGATACAAATAAACTGAATAGGTTAGGTTGGGAAACCTGGTGAGTACACAAGGTTTTCAACTAACAATAATATAAATATTTTGTTTAATCATCAAACAATTAACCCAATTACCTATCCCACATTATATTCTTTATTCTTAAGTATCTTCCCTAAGAATCATATATTCATTAGTATTTATTCCTAAGGATTGTCCTAAGGAATAGGCACAAAGTTCATCGCTACCAGGGTTTATATAACATGCACTAAGTCCATAATTGTCGATGTTATATTTTAGGCACTAAGTCCATAACTACCAATGTTCATCTATTGGGCACTAAATCCATAGCTGCCAATGTTTATCTATAGGGAATTAAATCCATAGTTGCCAACATTTATTTGTAAGGTACTAAGTCCATAGCTCCTAGGGTTTATCTATTTGGGACTAGGTTCATAGTTGCCAGGGTTTATCTATCTGACACTAAGTCTATAGCTTCCACGATTTATCTATTAGACACTAAGTCCATATCTATCGATATTATATGTTAGGAACTAAGCCCATAGCTTCCAGAGTTTATCTATTTGGCAATAAGTCCATAACTTCCAGTGTTCATCTATATCATATTTCATCTCCCATAATTCATTTACACATCTTCACCCAATATTTTTATAGGTATAAAAATACATATACAATTAATCAAATAAAACACATATATTTTTTTTCATCCATCATAGATATCAAGAACACAAATAGTATGCACACATAACACGTAATTTATATTAAATACTTCATATCTATGTGTAAGATGAAAGTACTATGCACTCACTTGTTAAAGTGATCACTCGAAATTTGGACAGTGCTTCGCTTCTAACAATCATCTTTTCCTTTGAAGAAACCTAACATTATTATTGCTAAGTTTTAGTCTAATATTTATTGCGACTAATTAACTCAAGGTCTACGAGCGATATTGTTTTATAAGTGTTTAAACAATACTTTTCAACTACTATGTACAAATAGGGGCCAAACATGAAACACTGTAGGGGTCTGAAATCCAACAACCCTATGCGACCATTCAAACCAAATTCCCTGTACCGCGAGTAGTTAAAAGATATTATAATAACACTTTGTATAATTTATATTTTGTTTATAGGTTCATAATAACGATAATGAACTTAAATATAAGTTATACTTAAAATAGGGTAAGCATAACTTACTTATAACGGGGTTTAACTAGGAACCAGGCTCTGTGGGGGCAGACCTTCTGAACCGAAAGCTCTTCTTTTCGGAACCTTCTAGCACTTCGGGACTTGCCTGTAACACTTAGGAAGTGTTACGGAAAGGAAGAGAGGGTTTGGGGATGTTTGGGGGAGAATGGTTGAGAGAGGTGTGAGAAATGAGGTGATTTGTGCCTATATTTATAGGCTGGAAAATGGCTCAACACGGCGTGTTTAGGGGCACTACACGATGTGTTGGTTTGCTAAGTGTCACCATCTGGTAGCAAGGCGTGGGGAAGAAGCAGTGGTCAGGATTGTGCCACGTGTCACTTGCAGATTACTCCAAAAACTAATTATCTTCTAAAATCCGCAACTTTCGCATACGAGCTCCGTTTTTGACGTTATTTATATCCACATGTAGATATCGACATGATCTACAACTTTGGTTTACACCCCGTCAGCTAATTTTAAATTTATTTTTTTAAAGTTATATTTTAATAGGCTTAAACTGGTAAAGTCCGTTAAAAACTCATAACTTTGTCATCCGATGTCCGTTTTCGTCTGTCTTTATATCGTTGAGATCATATTAATGAGATATTCAATTCTCATTTAGGTTGTGTCATCTAAGAATCAATCGATTTAAAATTCGAATTATGGGCTGTGCACGGTTATGCTAAATCTTAGAAAAATCATAACTTCCTCATACGAAGTCATATTTGGATGTTCTTTTTTATGTACGTTCTCGGTTTAACATATAGTACGACTTAAGTTTAGATCCCTAAGGCTAAAAAGTAATTTATCAAAAATTCACTTTTTACGTTACGCGGTGCCGTGCCTATTTAGTCGTAAAACTTCGACGGGTCATAACTTCTTCGTTTTAAGTTGGATTTCAACGTTCTTTATATGTACGAAATCCTTGTGAAATATACTATAACTTAGTTAAGATTATTCACTCTAGATAATCTTCTATAAAAAAGTCATTTAACGCTTATTGTCTCTAAATTGACTAGCCCGAATTTGCGGGCGTTACAGTTATATCCCCTTTAGGATGATTATGTCCTGGAATCATCAGCAAAATAGGGCTTGTATAATGACTCCATATGTTATATTTTCATCCTACGTAATAAAAATAACTCTTATGTCTTTTCTAATGAGTATCTAGCTCTTGGACTTCTTGATTGTTGGCGGTGCTCAATCTTGCATATGCTCTTTATACTATGTTGGACATTCAATTGTAACCTTCAAGTTACAATCTCGATCCTTATTGGAGACTCTTGCTCCTTCGTAAACAGACTTTACTTTGATTATCATAACAAACCGATATGTCATATTCTAATGACCTCTCGTTGTATGATGCAATGCTTAGACTCAGGTCTTTTAGAGTCAGATTCCAAAATGGAATATTCCTTCCTTTATGTTCTAATGTGATATAATCAAATTATAACATCTAGCACTTCTAACTACAGGCTTCTTACTTTAACAATGATTACAATACTTCTATTGATCGTTTCGATTATTTTTTACTTTAATCTTCTGGCTTAAGTCAGATACATCGAACTTGGTTCTCTGAACCACGTAGAATACATCTCCTAGTCGGAGTCGATATGATATGACCACTAGAGTCGGAATAATAATCATTCCCTTAATCATTACTGGTAACGACATGCATGAATAAGACGAAATCAATTACTAGCGCCTTGTTAATCTTGTGACTTAACCTGATCCAAGTGTGAGTCATGTGCTTCCGGTAGTATAGATCTCTACTACCTTTCACACCTATTCATACTCATCCCGAATATTGTCTTGCGGTTCTCAAGTTCTTATTTCCTAAAATCACAAAACGATATAAAACATACAAATGTGTCCAAATAATCATAAAAATTTCATTAGACTCTACTAGGACTTCTTCCATGCGTATCTTCAATCATCAATTCTGCTTCAACTTGGTTGGTGGTGGAAATAACAGACAATGGGATAACTTCATGGATTATACCAAAAGTTCTTTCTTTCTGTTAACCGAAAGTGTACTTCTCCCGTACTGGATGTGTTATTTATTAGACACATTCTAAAGGCAAGATACCTCTCTTGCGGTATCTTCCGATAGGTATCATTCACTATCGGTCAATAAGAGGAAGAATAAGGACATCTCAAGAAGGACCCCTTTATGACTTTCAGTTCTCTTCTAAGTTGGACTTAGATCTACTTCCGTTTGATAAGGTAGTTGTGTGTGAGCCGACATGTGAGTCTGGATTAGACCTAAATTAAACTTATGTTTGATTCCATTTGATAAGGTGGTTATGTGTCAGCCGACGTGTGGGTTTGGTTCGGATAATTCTGCAGACTTTAATGAACATTTTTATCAAACTTAAAGGCTTTAATGACTTTAATGAACCGCAAAAATGTATACAACCGAACATTATGCCAAATTTAAAGGTTTTTAAACTTAAGGCTTTTACGGCCTTTGGTCTCTCTTTTACATGATTTTGTACATTCAAAAATGGTATCGCACCGATTATCCCGTTCCTGAAGAGGTCGGTTCATTCTAATTTCTAACGCGGCGCACACAAAGGTTTATGCAGGGTTTTAACCTCGTCTTCCCACCACATCCCGATGTGTTCTTCGACCATCTGATTCACTTACACGAAAATTTTACTTCCCCTTATACTAATCACAACAAAATTCAGTCGTTCTATCATAATTTTTTCTTACAAAATCATCCCCTAATTAATGTTCATCGCCCAATTCCATAGCTCCTTTGATATATCAATTTCTCAACCCCATTTTGCCCCAACTGATATAAAACCCAGAAAAGTTTTTCAGTTAAATTCGTCAAAAAAATCAAAAGTTATGTGGCGAAGCATCTCCCAACGAGCCTCTTCAAGAATCCCAGCAAGTTCTTTCCTTGATTCACTTCCATTTCGTTGCAACTTCAATACTTTATTGGGTTATTCCGGAAATCCAATTATTTCTGAGAAATTACCGTTTAGAGGTATGGAGTTCGATTGCTGTTCATCAATTAAAGGACACCCGGAAAGAAATATCTTCGAAATGGGTCAAATTTTCGCTAGAGATGAACGTATTGGCGTGGGAAATCACGTTGGCTTCAACGTAAAAAGATACGCTAGTGTTGCAGAGGCTGTTGTTTCTTCATCTACAGATGCAGACGACGAAATTAATGGTGGCGACGAGGTTCAAAAACTGTTGAATGAAATGGGAAAAGAAAAGCAACGGCAGGCGACGAGGGGGTGGTGGCGGCAGAAGAGGGCAAAAACCGGCAGCAGTTGGAATTATATGAAACTTAAACAACGGCAAGTGAAGATTGAGACAGAAGCATGGGAATTAGCAGCTAAAGAGTACAGAGAGCTTTTAAGCGACATGTGTGAGCAGAAATTAGCACCTAATTTACCCTATATGAAGTCATTATTTCTCGGATGGTTCGAACCATTATGCAAAAAGATCGAACAAGATCAAGCATTATGTAGGAAAGGAAAGCATAAAGCCGCATATGCACCTTATTTCGATCTCCTTCCATCCGATAAAATGGCTGTTATCACAATGCATAAGGTCATGGGGTTGATAATGACAGGAGGCGAGAATGGTTGTGCGAGAGTCGTATCTGCTTCTTGTAGCGTTGGTGAAGCCATTGAACAGGAGGTATGCGTAATCATCTATGATTATTCTAATCTGTAAACCCTTTCTTTACGTTTTCAAATTTTAATTCCTTTTGGTATCTATCAGATTAGGATACACAAATTCTTGGAGAAAACAAAGACAAAAAAAGCTGCTAAAGCTGCAAAAAGTGAAGAAAACAAAAAAGTTTCTGATTCTGATGATGTTAAGAAGGAACAAGAGGGACTACATAAGAAAGTTACAAACTTGATGAAAAAAGGGAAGTTGCAGGTTGTAGGTCATATTGTGAAGGGATATGATGATTCAAAACCATGGACACAGCCTGTTAAAGCTCAGGTTTGAGGTCATAGGTTCATATTGACACGTTTCAACTGCTAATACATACATACATACATGTATATGTATATATTGATGTGTCTTAATTCTTTTTAGGTTGGAAGTCGTTTGATTGAATTGCTTCTACAATCTGCTTATATACAGCCTCCAGCTGATCAATTGGGTGATTCACCTCCTGATATTAGACCTGCATTTGTTCACACATTAAGAACTTCAGTCAAAGAAGGACAGTAAGTCTGAAAGAAACATGTTTTAAAAAGCATTAAAAGAAACACAGATATATAGCTTACTAGATTAAGACATTAAGTTCTATTCCTGTAAAAGAAACATCTTTGCAAAAGCTAGTCAACTGCTTTGTTTTCTTTGACTCAAAAGTCAAAATAATGGCTTCCTATTGAACAGGAAGACTGGAAGAAGATATGGTGTTATTGAATGTGATCCTTCAGTGCGCAAAGGATTAGAGAGAGCTGTAAGCATTCAGATTTTTCAAATGAAAGTTCAATTGCTATTTCTTCAATTTATTCCAATAAAAAATTCGGGTTTTAACCATATTTTTTTTTCCTTATTTGATGAAACAGTCGAGGCATGTGGTTATCCCTTATATGCCAATGTTGATACCTCCTGTAAAGTGGACAGGGTACAAAAATTTTAGTTTGTTAAACTTGTATATTTACATATATGGTCCGTATACTTTCAAATTTACAACATTAGTCCTTCAACATTGATACAATGTCTTTTTTTATGGTGTCCAGTTATGACAAAGGAGCTTACCTCTTCTTACCTTCCTTTATAATGCGAACACATGGAGCAAAGCAACAGAGAGAAGTGATTAAAAAGACTCCTAAGGAGAATCTTCAGCCAGTTCTTGAAGTATGATTTATTTTTCATGTAAAATGACGTATCTACCCTTATTTGATTATCTTGATTCCTCAGGCATTGGATACCCTTGGGAATACTAAGTGGAGGGTGAATAAGAGAGTGCTAGGTGTGGTTGACCGAATATGGTCAAACGGTGGCTGCCTTGCTGGCTTGGTTGACCGACATGATGTGAGTTTGACTATGAATTTTGAATATAATGAAATGTTTTTTGCAAAAAGATAAAATTGAATTTGATTATTACGTGTAGATTCCTTTGCCAGAAAAACCAGATACAGAAGATGAAGAGGAATTGAAAAAGTGGAAATGGAAAGTTAAAAAGGTGAAAAAGGAGAATAGAGAGAGACATTCTCAACGGTGTGATGTTGAGCTCAAATTAACTGTAAGATTGTAATTTTTACTTTTGATAAAACTATATAATATCTCATATTAAAAGGGTTAAATGCAAGAATTAGCAATGTACTTTCATATATCATATATTATGGCATCATATTTTCATTTCTTCCTATTACAACATTAAAAGTCTATCAAATTATAGCAATGCCATCCAAATACAAAGCAATTTTGATAGGGCTAAATGCAATAAATAGTAACGTATGTTGATTTAATTGTTTATTATAGCATCCTACTTTCATCTTTTCATATTACAACATTTTACATCAAAAAATCTAACGAATTATAGCATCATCATCTAAATAGAATTATACAAAACAGTTTTCACTCCTATAATTGGGTATATTTTCGAAGTGAAGAATTTTTTTGAAAGTATAATGCTATAATTGGGTCGATTTTTGAAGTACAATGCTATATTAAGAAAGAAAATAGAAGTGCAATAATGTATTTGAAATAAATGAAAGCAGGTTGCTATAATAAAAAAAAAATGAATATATGTTGCTAGTTCTTGCATATAGCCAAAATTCCATTTGGGTTAATCTAAAAAAAACCCTTATATTTTGTGTTTTCTTTTTTTAGATTAAACTCAACTTTTTTTTTTTTTGCCTGAAAAAGACCTTGTATTTTTCATTTTTTCTGATGTGGCCCTGTTAGTCAATTTTTTTTTTCAAAAAAAATGTAAAATGTGAGGGTTTTTTCAAGAAAAACTAAAAAGGATGAGGGTTTATTTGGAAGCATGTAGAAGGTTGAAGGTTTTTTTCAAAAAAAAAATGCGATGTTGAGGGCTTTTTCGGAAAAAATGAAAAAATACAAGGTCTTTTTCAAGCAAAAAATAAATTTGAGGTTTAATCCAAAAAAACACAAAATATAAGGTCTTTTTTGAGATTAACCCTTTCCATAACTAGGTAGATTTTTCAAATTACAAAATCCTAATAAGAAAAAAAAACCAAAAGTTGAATGCTATAATGGGATAGAATTGGAAGTAGGATGCTATAATAACAAAAAATCAAAAATACAATGATATAATATAGAGTAAATTACACAAATGGTCCCTATGGTTTGGGGTAATTTGCGTGCTTGATCCCTAACTTATTCTTTTAACTTGGAAGGTCTCTACTGTTTGTTTTTGTTACACGTCTGGTCCCTATTTTACCTAAAAAGACTTATTTAAATAGCGAAAAATGGTGGGGTAGGTAAGGTAAGGTGAAGGGGTGGGGTTGGGGGTGTGTTTATCTAAATAAATTAAAAAATCAATGATAAAATAGTCTTTTTAGGTAAGACATGGACCAAGCACGTAACAAAAACAAACAATAGGGACCTTCCGAGTTAAAAAAATAAGTTAGGGACCAAACGCACAAATTACCCTAAACCATAGGGACCATTCATGTAATTTACTCTATAATATATTAATAGATACAAATACACATAAGTACATTGCTATTTCTTCCATTTAAACAAAGTACATTGGTATTTTTGTAATTGGAGGTGACAGGTGGCACGAAAGATGAAAGATGAAGCTGGATTTTTCTACCCACACAATTTGGATTTCCGGGGTAGGGCCTACCCAATGCCACCTCACCTGAACCACCTCGGGTCGGATCTTTGCAGGGGCATTTTGGAATTTGCAGAGGGGCGGGCCCTCGGGAGTTCAGGGCTGAGGTGGCTGAAGATCCACCTGGCGAATTTATACGCTGTTGGTGGGGTCGACAAGCTGTCACGTGAGGGTAGAATTGACTTTACAGAAAATCATTTGGATGATATTTTTGATTCTGCTGATAGACCACTTGATGGTGATCGATGGTGGTTGAATGCTGAAGATCCTTTTCAGTGTTTGGCTGTTTGTATTAATCTTGCTGAAGCCTTGAGAAGCCCTTCTCCTCACACTGTTGTTTCTTATATTCCTGTGCATCAGGTATCAATGACATATATGCCCTTCTTAAACATCAAAATATCATATTTGCCCAAATCCTTATTTTAAGTCCTAGTGTTTTCGGCCAGTTTACGTTTATTTTTTCAACAGATTATTTTATATTTTGCCCAAATTTAACAAAATAGTGCTTATTTTTTTTTAATAGAAAATGACTGGTTCTCGTATAAAATTAGATAATCAGGACTTTTTTGTTCAAAAAATAAATGTCTGGATTAAAATGTAAACTGACCCAAAAAATGGGACTTTATCGGAGATTTCCCTTTAAAATATCATATGTACTCTTAATAAACTTTCAAAATATCATGTTTACTCGAAAGGGTTAATCTCAAAAAAGAACTTATATTTTTTGTTTTTTTTTTCTGAATTAAACCGCAATTTTTTTTGCTTGAAAAAGACCTTGTATTTTTTCAGTTTTTCCGAAAAAGACCTCAACTTTGTATTTTTTTTTTTCCGAAAAAACCCCTCAAACTTCTAAATGCTTCCAAATAAACCCTCAACTTTTTTTGTTTTTCTCAAAAAAAAACCCTCACGTTTTACAATTTTTTTAGAAAAAAATGACTAAAAGGGCCAATTTGGAAAAAATGAAATAATACAAGGTCTTTTTCAGGGAAAAAAAATTGAGGTTTATTCCGGAAAAAAAACACAAAATATGATATTTTGAAAAGTTGTGAAGGGTATATAGATGATATGATATTTTAAACTTAGATTTATAATAGGGGTATAATAGTCAATTCATAAAAACAAGAAGTTCTCCCTTGTTTATTATAGGATCCTACTTTTGTTTCTTCAAGTTCCCAGTATTGTACTTCAAAAACTCTACTTGGTTATAGCAAATACCATATGAATACAAAGTCATTTTCAAAGCTATAATTGGGTGGATTTTATAAAATATAATGTCCTCATAAGAAAAACCAAAAAGTATATAAATAATGCTATAATAATTGGTTGGATTTTACATTTTTACTACAGGATGGTTCATGCAACGGTTTACAACACTATGCTGCTCTTGGAAGAGATAAAGTAATTGCCTTTTGAAACCTTACTATGTGTATATAAGTGTGTGTGTGTGTTAATTGTGTAAATTTTGTTTTCCAGCTAGGGGCGACAGCTGTCAATTTGGTTGAAGGAGAAAGACCTGCTGACGTGTACTCAGGAATTGCTGCAAGGTGAGTTTCTGTTAATTGTTAAACCAAAGTTTAAACATAAATAAATATAAATAATATAGTAATAGTTTTGAATGCAAATGATGCAGAGTTCTTGAGATTGTGAAAAGAGACGCAGAATTGGATCCGGATTCGTTTCCAGATGCAAAACACGCACGACTTCTCATCAATCAGGTATTATTATTTTTGTTAATATTTTTTATAAACTAAAGGCAAGGGCAAATTGGTAATATAAAAATGTTAATGTGAATGCCAGGTGGACAGGAAGCTGGTGAAGCAGACAGTGATGACGTCAGTTTATGGTGTGACTTTTATTGGTGCTCGAGATCAGATTAAAAGGAGGCTGCAAGAACGAAGTGATATTTCTGCTGATGATGCTCAGCTTTTTGCTGCAGCTTGTTATGCTGCAAAAGTAACAAACAAACAAACTTTTTATTTTTATTTTTTTTTATTAATTTTCACTTTTAAATGTCTCAGTAAAAAAAAATATTTGTTATTATTTGATTGGACAGATAACTTTGGCTGCGCTTGGGGAAATGTTTGAAGGTGCACGTAATATCATGAACTGGCTTGGAGACTGTGCAAAGGTTTGTTTGCTTCTATTTTGTATAAAAGTAAAAAATATATATAAATTTTTGTTATAAAATATAAAATCTTTTTTTTTTTTTCACAGTTAATAGCTTGTGAAAATGAGCCAGTAAGGTGGACTACACCACTTGGTCTTCCTGTTGTTCAACCTTATCGCATACATGGAAGACATCTTGTAAGCATCAACCAAATTTTAAATATTTCACAATTTTGTTTATTTATTCAAAACCGAGTCAACCGGGAAATTTAATTTTTTTTTTTGGTGATTGTTGCAGGTTTCAACTTCTCTTCAAGTATTGACTCTGCAGCGTGAAACTGAAAAGGTATTTTTACATTATACATTCAATGTTTTTCTTATTATTTAAGGAATTGTTACTATAAAAGTCTACCCAATTATAGCATTGTACTTCAGTTTTCTTTTTTTTGTTATGACATTTTACCTAATTATAGGGAGTAAAAATTGTATTATAACTCCTTACATTTGTTGAGATATTTACCCAAACAGTCCCTGCGAACAAAAAAATCTACAAAAATGGTCACTCTAACTTACAAAAATTAGTCATTGTTTTAATAGAAAATTACAGAAACGGTTCTTACGTAGAAAACAAATTACAAAAACAGTCCCTGTAGTTTACAAAATAGGTTCCTGTGCAGAATTATTTTTACTGGAATGGTACCTCTGTTTCAAAAAATTACATAAATGGTCACTTCTGTATAACAAATTTACAGAAATGGTTCCTATGTTTCATAAAATTATATATATGGTCCCTGCCTATTAGCAAATTTACATAAATGGTCCCTGTAGGTAATGGTGAGGCGGCAAAGAACGGCTTTTCCCCCAAATTTTGTCCACTCACTCGATGGTTCACATATGATGATGACCGCAGTTGCCTGTAAACATGCAGGCTTGAACTTTGCAGGTGGTCCTTTTTTACAACTTTTACCCCTTTCTTTTACAACTTTTATAAGTTTGCCCCATTTTCAATAAAACATATCTTCACACATACTGAAATCATATATAATTACATTTTCAGGTGTACATGATTCATACTGGACGCATGCTTGCAATGTAGATGAAATGAATAGAATATTAAGGGAGAAGTTTGTTGAGCTTTATCAGACACCCATATTGGAAAATGTACGTATTTTTCATTTTTCATTTTTTTTGGGATCAATTTTGATGGAAATGTTTTTGATTATGATTATGATTATCAAAAAACAGTTGTTGGAGAGCTTTCAAGAGTCGTTTCCTACATTGTCATTCCCACCTTTGCCAGATAGAGGAGATTTTGATCTTTCAGATGTTCTAGAATCTTCATATTTTTTCAACTGAAGCCATGAAGAACTGAACATATGTGCACTATTCTTTGATTTGAATCTGTAGAAGATATCATCATAGGTTGATTTGTATATATGTGTCACATTTATTGATGTGTATATATGGTCTTAATTTATTAGTGGTAAACTGAAAGGCATGAAAGTATTTACACTGAAATATGAAGGAATATCTTCGTTCTTAGGTTTTGGTTGTAATGGATGTTTCTTGAAAATGCAAAGTAAAAATCAAGAATCAAAGGAAAAAAAATGAAGTTCTTTCAATTTTGACCAAGTTCAATCAGGGTCACACCTATGTTACTCTAACAAAACAATATACATTTTGAATAAACAGAAAGTCAAATACCAAGTTTGCCATTGTTACATGGTGCATAGAAGTGTTTGGCAATGAGATTTTAGGTTTTAAAAAGAATAGATTCAGTTCTAAGAAGTATGAGTTTAAAACTTTTTATTTTTAAACAAAAACTTGTAATCGTAAGTTAATTGACAGTAAAAGCTTTAAAATAAGTCCAATTTTAAGATGAAAATTGAAGTGTATAAACAAGAAGTTAAAACATGTGAACTAAAAGCTCTAAAAAAAGTCCAAATGTTAAATGTTATATATGTGTAATTTAAAACATATGGATGACAAATAGGGAAAAATAAGGGAATTTCAAAAAAATTCAAATCCCCACAATAAAGAGAGGACATCTAGGCAAGGTAGGCCGATTTGCCTATATTTGAAGGATTCAAACTTAGATTTAATCTCAAAAAAACCGGGTTCAAAATTTTAATATTATTTTATTAGTAGTTGATTGCATTTTCAGCTTAAAAACTTGAATGACTTAAAATTATATTATTATTATATTAAATATCATTTTTATTTTTTTAATATAGTATATAGATAATTCAAGATTAACTAGCAATTGATTGCATATTTAGATAAGACGTGTAATAGTATAATGAATAATTTTTTTAATTATTAAAATATTATTATATATAATTAAAAGCAATTGAGCTTATGAATAGTAAAGTTCATTGGTTTTAGAAGAGAGTGCACAATCTAGCAAAACCCATAGAATTGAACAAAATTAGGGTGTGTTACACACCCACCATCATTAGGAGAGAGTGCACAATCGTATCATTGATGTTGCAAAACTTGGTTATAACAACATTCTTGTACCCTTTAATATTGGCCTTGTGTATCTTCTAGTTGAAATTTTTGATTATTATTTAACGTGGATCGAATTTGTCAGTTGTTGATTTGATGTTGGCTAGTTTCATGTCTGTTGGAGTGCTGGAGAACAGATGTCTCGTTTCTTTGATCTTGCTCTTCTTCTTTTGATCGAGTATTGCAAATTCCACACTGTAACAACTTAGATACCAATCTCACAAATAGAAGAAAAAAAGTATCAACCAAAATTTTTGCAGTTCATTTCGTGGTGGAGCTTGGGTGGTATTCTATAACAAATCAACTCAATTTTCGGAATTAGAGATCCTTTAAGGGGCCAAGGGAGGCCATGCCCCCTTTACTTTTAGACTCATTAATACTTAGTTATACATTAAGTACTTAAAAGAACGAGACTCCACCAAAATAAAAAGAAGAATTTCAAAATACCTAAATATGCTAATTCAAAGGAGATGAAGATATTCTACCAAAATTAAATAACCATCGTCCATCAAGATATAAAAGAAATAGAAAACCGTCTCAACATTAAAACCTTAAACCTATAGCCCTTAGAGTAAATTATACGAATGGTCCCTATGGTTTTGGGTAATTTGCGCGTTTAGTCCCTAACTTATTTTTTTAACTCGGAAGGTCTCTACTATTTGTTTTTGTTACACTCTTGGTCCCTACTGTTTATTTTTGTTACGTGCTTGGTCCCTATCTTACCTAAAAATACTATTATTTAAATAGAGGAAAATTGTGGGGTAGGTAAGGTAAGGTGACGGAGTGGGGTTGGGAGTGTGTTTGATTAAATAAATGAAAAAAATCAATGGCAAAATAGTCTTTTTAGGTAAGACAGGGACCAAACGCGTAATAAAAATAGTTACTAGGGACCTTCCGAGTTAAAAAAATAAGTTAGGGATCAAACGTGCAAATTACACCAAACCATAGGAACCATTCGTGTAATTTACTCTAGCCCTTAACCATCATCTCCGGCTACTTATTCTCGTCTTTCCGTCTTCTCTAGTCTCAGCATCTTCAGCGAGCTTAACACCTTCCTGAGTCGTTGAATTACTACCACCGCTAGAGATCTCAGCCTCTCTGGCTTCTACAACTCCTATCGCCATATCACCTTCGAATAATGGCCTCTCCATCACACCTCTGTAGTCTCTCGAGTAGTTGTAAGTTTACACCAGACTTGTTTTTTCTCTTTCATTTTGTATCTTTTAATTACAATGGGTTAGTGTTTGTGTAAAGAAATCAGAAATTTTAAGAGGAGACAGGATATTATTTCCTTCATGGATTGATGGCGCACACTGCACAATAATATCTGCCAGCCGTAACTTTTTTCTTTTATCTTTTATGTGATTGTTATTTAAAAATTTTACATGTAAAGTATGTTTTCCTTTTTATTCTAATAAACTTTGTTCAATCTATTGGAAATATATCCTAGAAATTATATTAATTTAACAAGTTACATAATGAAATTGTAAAAAAGATTTAATGTGTAAGGTTAGAATCTAATTATTAAACTTGTTCATATGGTTAATTGAGGCCGTTTTACATTTGATTTGACCACTATTAAACTTGTTTATATAGCTTTAAATATAAGTTTGATTCCGCCCCTTTGCCCTTTGGTTATAGTGTTCGTGGATTTTTCTGAATGTATGATTTCATTTAATGGAAGAATCTAAGTCTTCAAAGGCAGAACACCCAAAATTTAAAGGAGAAAAATTCTCAAATTGCGGATTCAAAATTTATAGAATTTTGAAGAGAAACAAGGCTAGAGAGAGACATAGAATAAAGAAGAATAAGCATATGTTAAAGGGATCTTATAAGCCTGACTTTTCACATCGGTCCATCTTAGCCGTTGATCCTTAGTATTGAATGGATTCCCAACGTTGCTCATGGCGATTAACAAAAAGAATTGTCTAGCTCATGGCGTTTAACAAAACATATTGCCACGATATCTTCTTCTATTCACTATTTCGACGATTCATAGTCAGGTGTTTGCGTCCATTGAGGATCAACTGATATAGGGTACTTTGCTAATAAGGATTCTACGTGTTAAGATATTTCAACCAAAGATGGCACTCTTGACCAATCTTTATCGTATTATGCCAAATATGATGGTCCTACTCCTCTCGTGTTCTCACTTAATCGTTTGGATGCTTCCACAATTATACCAACCGAGCCGAATCAGTCTAAGGTCCGGGTCAGAGCAGGATGGTGTGTTCAGCCTTACGTACTTAGGTTTGGTGAAATATGTTTTTCAAGGGAAGGATATAAGTTTGGGTTAGGGCACCAGTTCCGAGAGTCTAATTATCGTTATGTCCTCTTTTGTTGACTTTAGCAAAGTTACCTCTCTATTTGCTCCTTCTAATGTTGATGTAGCGACATGCATATATGCCATTTTTTTGTATTTACCTTGGAGTTTTAATATATGATATCTGTTAATTTGCAGGAATAGCCTTGCTTCACCTTTGACGTTGGCTTTAATTAATAATGGCTTCAAATAATCTGTTCATACATCCTTTGTTGATGCAATTGTCAACTTGCGTACTATCCTTCAATGGCGAATTTGAAGAATCTCACGAATTTGGCGCACAACCTTCCCACAGGGCATAAATCGTGCAGATGAAATGACATCTCGCCTTATGTGTAGGCACGTATCTATTGAAGCTAAAGAGCGAGAATTTGGAACACTGTTAACTTTTTGGAGAAGTCACGAGCGGATAACGAGTTGGCTGCTACTAATAGTCGGCTATCTATTTGTGTTGATGAAATGGTTAAGCAAGAGAAGGATTTGGAAATTCTTAACAAAAATTTAGCTGCAAAAGCTCATGATATGACAGAGCAACACCTTTTGTTGGCACAAGAGTTAGACGACTTAAAGGCTTTTTTTTTTGAAAAAATGGCAGAATTAGAGCTTTCTGCTCTTAGAAGCACGTGAAAGTGAAGGTATTGGAAGGTAAAGTTTGCTCTTTATAGGAATCTAAGACAAATATGATTGTTCAATTTGATAGAGTGTCTAAGAAACTAACCCAATCCCTTGAGGATTCTTCAAATTTGCATGTATCCGTGGAAAAGAAAGGTTGTGAGGTGAAGTGGTTATTGGAAGAGGGTATTCCTTCCTGCTTCAAGATAGTGCTAAGGTCTATAGAGTTTAGAGAAGTAAATTCTCTTGGTGCAAAAGGATTGTATTAAGTATGGTTTGCACCTTCGTTATTTGGAAATGAAGAAGTTCTATGATGTTTTGCCATTTTGCCATATGTATCTTTACATTTGTTTTTCCTCATGCTCAAGAGAATGTTATGGGTGAGTTTTCACTCTTGGTGGATCATTATTTCGGTTTATCTCATTCTTTAAAGTTTGGAGAGCTTCGATTTGATTCTCTTAAGGAGTTGGTGAAAGAAGGGGAAGATATTGGCAGGGGTGATGATAAATAGTTGATCAAGACCCGATGGGGTTACCTTTCCATAATTCTTTTGCTTGGTTGCTTGCTTTTACGTTTGTTTTTATTTTTTGCTTTATCGTGTGATATATTTAGGGATATCTTCCCATATCATTTTCTTTAAGCCATAATCCTTATAACTCTTTTGCTTTTACTGTTACTAGTATGTATGGAAACATATTTTAGTAATATGAATTATCGGGTGACTTTTGCTTTGAAGATAATCGTTTGCTTCCTGCCATGTGTTTTGTTATATAGAAAGTATATTTAAGAAATATTATGAGTGTTTTTTGTTGATATTCGTTTCTTTAAAGATTGTTTTTGAAGTGTAATGCATTTGATTATTTTGCTCGTGGCTTTTTATGTCGTTTATTTGAACGAATGATGATTTTAATCTAGTGACTTGTCATTTGGTATGTTCTTCCGTTTAGTTCTTCTTTATCCTTATCGATCCCATTTGTTGTTAGTCAGGATAGGAGATGTCGAGGATGGACTGATCTTGCTTGGACCGACTTGATTGGCATACTCCCATCCGTTTTGGTTATGATTAACATGCTCCAATCCGGTCCGACGTTTAGAGGAAATTGTGGTATACAATTTAGCTTTAAATTCAATCTAGCAACTATTCTCTTAAACCTCATGGTACCATGCATAATACCCCAACTTACTTACTCTATGAAACAAACAACAAAACACAAATTGGTTAATTAACAATGAAGAAGTGAAGTGTTTTTCATGTTGTTTATTTAAACGATTCATAATCTATTCACTTATTGCGGTCCAAAATCTAATCACGGTCACTTGCCGTAATTTAAAATAGCGGTTCTCGCGGTGAGATAGTGATGGGATAGTGGTTTTTGAAATATCATGTAACATATATATATATATATATATATATATATATATATATATATATATATATATATATATATATATATATTATCATTAATTAATTAATAAAAGAGAAATACGCAACTCCTCTGTTCTAAAATCTAAATCCAATCAATTCATTTAATTAAGTAAAATCAGTCAATTAAATATTCCTTATAAATAAGTTAATCATTTCCTTATATAAAATTAAACCATAGAAGAAAGAAAAAAAGCGATAGAAACAGAAAGAAAAAAGCAATCGGCATTGCTAAAATCAATTTTGTGAAATAGCGGTCAAAAACCGAGATCTCGTAGTCGAAATAGCGAAAAAATTGCGGCCAATCTCGGCTAATCCCGACATTATTAGCGGCTCCATTATTCTGAGCGCTATTTGAAACCGCTATTTTGCTAACACCCACGAAACATTATCCCACCAAGATCTCAGTGCTATTAACTGTCTAATTCATGATTTTAATCTATTGACTTGTCATTTGGTACGTTCTTCCAGCTAATTCTTATTTATCCTTATTGATCCCATTCTTTTAGTCCGGATAGGAGATGTTGAGGATTGACCGATCTTTCTTGGTCCGACTTGATTGGCATACTCCCATCTGGTTGGTTTATAATTGTTGGAAATAGGTGTCCAATTATTGGGTTTTCTATACAACAATACACTCTAACTAGGTAGCAGAAGCAATCAAAAATTTACCTAAGTGTACATGCACCCTAGGATCCATGTTTTACTAATTAAATTAACCTACTTTAAAACTATAAATCTATTAAAGAAAGACAAAACTATTAAGCTCTTGTGTGGCTCGACCTTGATCTTCTTGAACTTTCTAAAAGACTTCTAGAACCTTTCTTGATACAACATGTCATTTGGATGATAGGATTCAAAGTAGAATCTCTCTAATAGAATCACACCTAATGACTCTAAAGAGAGAACCAAAAGAAAAATAAGAGAATAGATAACCCTAAGAGAGTTTGGAATAGAAGGAAAGTTGGTGAAACTTTCAACCCAAGGTGCAAGAAATTATGAGATCCCTAGAGCCATATTTATACTCCAGGGTCATCTCCTTAGATTTGTCTCCCATCCTCATGTGGGATCAAGGAATTATTAGATTTTCTCCCATCCCTATGTGGGATAGAGAACAAATTCAAAATTTGTCTACATCTCATGTGGGATGGAGTGATTTTTCGTCCTGTCTTATTTCCTTAAGAGTTCTGAAATATTCCACTCAACCAACTATTGATTAATTAATATTCCACCATTTTAATAAATTAAAACTATCTAATTAATTCTCTATCAATTTTAAAATAGTTTATAATTAATTTATTAAACATAATAAATTAATAAACGTATTTTCTCTTTATGTAAATTTCTTTTAATTCCCCATTTTTGTCTTAGCAACCTAAAAATGACTCTACTATTATTTAGAAAATACCAATAATTAATGACACTTTACACAATTTTCAACACCAAGTTCATAAGTACTTGATATAACTAATTGATATAACTAAGAGAGTAATAATAAAACCCTCTTTTAGGGCTTCCCACAAAAACTAAAATAGCTAGAAAGGAATTAAAAGAATGAGATAAATAGTTTATAGTTTATTACAAGTTAATAAATTAATTAGAATGCCAAGTTTTTATATAGTGAACATAATTAGAGATTAACTAGCAATTGATCGAGATAAGATGGTGTAATAGCAAAATGAATTAAGTTTTTTTTATTATTAAATTATTATTATATATACTAAAAGCAATTGAGCTTATGAACAATAAAGTTATTGGTTTTAGACTTTAACCATAAACGTTTTTTATTTTAATTTTGATCATAATGTATAGTTATAGGATTTTAGATTTTGGCAAAAAAAAATTTGTTATTTTAGACTTTGGCAACAAACGACCTTAAACTTTGGGCATAAAATTTTCTTATTCTGGCCATAAGTTTTTCTTATTCAGACGGCTATAAAAATTTCTTATATCGATAGATTTGGTCCCTAGATTTTTAAATGTTAGCACTTTCCACCTTTTACTTTGTCGAATGTCACTTTCCACTCCTACCTTGTAAAATGTTATTTTTACCCTAAAAATTTTGAACACAGACATTTTTCATCCTTTGCCTTTCATATATTGGCATGTTTGCAAGTTTGAAATGTTTGGTCCCTATGTAAAAAAACAATTACAAAAACTATCCCTTTAATGTGTAAATAACACCTTGTGCATAATTATATTTACAGGAATGGTGCCTATGTTTTAAAAAAATTACATAAATGTCCTTCCTAATAACAAATTTATAAAAGTGATGTTCAATCCCTACATATAAAAAAATACAAAAACAAACTATTTAATTTACAAAAAATGTCCATATGTTTAAGATTTTTATATATTGATAGGTTTGGTTCATATGTAAAAAATAAAAAGTTGTTCTTATACTTTATAGAAAATGTTCATGTGCATATTTTTTCCACATAAATGGTCCATATGTTTAAAAACTTACAAAAATGGCATTTACATAATACAAAATTTATAGATCACGTTCCTGCAAAGCGGGGATAATATCATCCTAGTTAATAATATGTTTACTTGATTTAATATTTTTAGTATATAAAACAAAATGTTCTTGAAATTAAATTTTCCATCCCTATAGTATGTTGAAATCATGGAATTTGTCCTTGCGAATAATTTTTAATGATTTCCTTCCATTAAATAAAGTGTTACAGAAAAAAGCCAAAATGTCACCCAAAATCTTTTTATTCTACAATTTATTTATTTATAAATCATGGATCCTCATTGACTTTTTGATCAATCACGCTACCATTGAACACCACCACCACAGTACAATTTCACAGTTATTCCCTCATATGTCACCACCAATGAAGATACATATCAAACAAATCAAAATCAAAAGAATTGAACATCCAAATAAAACAAAACAGTTATTAAATGAATGATGGAATATGAATGATGGAATATATAGACAAACAAGACAAATAGGTTGAATGATATTTCACCAAGTTTTGGATCAATTTCATTTCAATGAAATAATTGAGAAAAGCATCCATTTTACCTCAATATGTAGGGATTCATTTCAGTTTCTTAAGATATGTGCAAACCATGATGATGATGAAGCTGGCATCTTGTAAACAGACTAAACTTTTGATTCCAACAAAGAAACATATTTATCAAGCATGGAGATTACTACTTGTAGATCAGTCACTTGTTGTTCTATAGCATCAATTTGCTGAACATACACATCAAAATTCTCACTTTTTGCCTTCAATCGTTCAACAAAAACCCTCAATCCAGAGGCAACATCACCAAATCCTTCATATTCTTCTGCTACTTTCAGATTCATACTTTCCAACAACTTGAGGACATTGTTTGTACCCTAGAGAAACAAATTTCAGAAATCAACATCACAAGTTCTAAAAACATGAAGGAAAATGTAGAGGAAACCTGAAGATCGCCTTTAATCATAGTGGAAACATCAGTAAATAGATCGTTGAGAGCTTCAGTGAGCTCATCGTGTTCCTGTGTTACCATATTTTCAGCCATGGCGACAAAATTCTACACCCGAAGTGGAACAATCAATTGAATTATAAGAGTAATAGACGATGAATCTATCGATAAGAAAAAGTGTAATAATCATCTGTTAATAATCAAATTTTGCAATGTTCCTACTCGATAGAACTTAGAAGAACTAATCGATGTATGAGTTTCAATAATCCCTAATAAACGAATTGAATTATTAAACTAATGGCAGATGAATCATCTATTGATAACTCGAAGGAAAACGTAAATATTTACCAGTAGAACAAGACGTCGGAGCAGCAGATAACAGCGAAGACACTCGTCGGCGGTGGTGAGAAGACATAGATCCGACCGACAACACAAAAGCGAGGGTCTAGATTAAAGGGATAATGACTTGGGAGAGTAATAAGGTTTCCAGCTTGTTCGTATTAGGTCACTAAGGTTTTTTTTGTGCGTATTAGACCAATATGGTTGTTATTACTGTTTAGAAATAGTCATTTTACCGGTTTTAATGGGTAAAAATGAGTATTTCTTAACGGTAATACCAACCATATTGGTCTAATACGCACAAGAAAACCTTAGTGACCTAATACGGACAAACTGGAAACCTTATTACCCTCCTAAGTCATTAACCCTAATTATTTAGAAAACATGCTTACTAATCAATGTGACTGATTTGCTTGACTGAAAATAGTTGCGTCCATTTAAACTTATCTCAGAACCCTTCCAGAACTTCTAAGTCCAGAAACTCATATGATTGATGATCTTCATTACATAAATATGCAACATTTTATCAATAACTTCTTTTTTGTCATTTAAATGTTTACATGAACACATCCATATGTAAAAAACAAAATATCACTTTGATACCTCCCATCAATGTCTACATTTGATAACGAATGGAAATACAAAACCACCAGGGACTTGCAGATGATGCATATTATCAATTATTTTATAAAAAGCAAAACCACAACATGAACTAAGAAATTGAAGTTGCAAAATTAATCAAAATCAGCACATAAACAAACACATACAGACTATATACAACACATAAACGAAAGTTTATAAAGCATGAAACTTAATGACAGGAAAAGTAAAAAACTTAAAGGAGACTTTATAGAAAGAAAGATCACTCTTACTTGCGACAAATGGTTGAAGACATCAACAAGAAGATCAATCTGACCATAGAATCCACATGTTGTCTGATTATGACTCCAGTAGATGAACTACTGAAACGTAAGAATTGCAATTGAACTCTATTAGCATTTGAAAAGGGAATTAGGGTTAAAAAAAATTGGACCATTTCTTGATTTGTGTGTGTCATCCTTGCGCAGGGGCCATGCTAATCTTCTCTGTATCGTTCCAATTTTATCGGATGTCCCCAAAGAGACGACTATAGATGAAGAGCTTCGCCATATAGAAGAGTAGCAGGTTATATGGAACGACGCGATTTCTAAACGAAGTAGTTTACTGTTGATGGTCATATATTCTCAATGTCTTTAAAATTAGGGTTAATGACTTAGGAGGGTAATAAGGTTTCTAGTTTGTCCGTATTAGGTCACTATGGTTTTTTTGTGCGTATTAGACCAATATGGTTGTTATTAACGTTTAGAAATAGTCATTTTTACCCATTAAAACCGGTAAAAGGACTATTTCTAAACAGTAATAACAACCATATTGGTCTAATATGCACAAAAAAAACCTTAGTGACCTAATACAGACAAGATGGAAACCTTATTACCCTCCCAAGTCATTATCCCTAGATTAAAGGCTTTTAGGGTACTTGGACTTATCATCAACCTATAGTTTTATTCCATTTGGATTTCTGTTTGGCTTATAACTCCAAAATCCACCATGATGTATCATTTTGGTCTCTAGTTGGTTAACATTATTGGATATTATTATGCGGACATTATCACGTGCAGAATACATGGGGTTCAATTGAATATCCTTTTGTCCATTTTATTTTAATACATATATCATAAACTATACAGATAGAAAAAAAATGATTATCAACCAACACGATGACATTATTTAGAGTTAAAACCATATACCATATACCATAATACAATTAGAATTACAAACTGCATTGCATAAATTTAAATTGTATGATACAATACAATTTAATTTGGTACGATTCAGTATGGTTTATACATTTTTAAATCAAAAAGATATATCAGTCAATATAGTTTAAATTTCAAACAAAAGACTAATACACTAACAAAAAAAAAAAATAATGATACATTTTTTTTATGTGCCTAGAACATTCATAATCCTTTCTAGTAATTTGTTTTATTTTATGTGCCTAGAATCAAAGTGTCGTTATGAATTATCCTATATTGAATTCTATAATACCCAGGCATATCGTATAAATCTCAATTCAAAAAATCAACTTACATGATTCACAAGCAATCCGAATTTTCATTTCACTATTTCCTTATTAGTTTCTGTATATAGGCTCCGATAATTATATCTAAACTAGTTCTTGTTACTTGCTTTTCAAATGATACATTTTTTGTTAGGATTTGCTAGTGCTATATATCATTTATGTTGTCTCACTAATGACGAGCCCCCTAGTGCGGGATTGATGGCATACCCCTTAGCGCAGGCCAGAAGCAGGACTCCAGGTCGAAGGATCCTCCAGTTAACCTAGTCAGGCCCGACCTGGATGCGTACGGGCATTCCCTCAGGGTGGAACGCTCGCATAGGAAGTCCAACCTCACCAAGAGCACCCCTGCTACAAGACAAATATGATGGCTTCAGGCGACAAAGAGCATGCCCAGAGCACCAAATCCTGAACCAATCATTGGACCTGACACAGTAAGGGACACGATTAGCCAACCAAAGAAGCGAATCATATCAGTCCCGGTTCCCCATACGGAACAACAGGGATCCCTAGTATAAAAGGGCCTTCTCCCTACCTTGAAAAGTAAGTGATCCATTCCAACATTCATCAACCTTAGCCAAATATCTTCCACTAACTTGACCGTCGGTGCGTCTTCTCGGGACCTCCTCTCGGGAAACGAACGACGACCATTCTTTGTTGTGACTTTGTAGAGCGTTCTGACAACAATAAACGATCTGAGAGCTGGTGGTCGGAGCCAAGGTCGCATTATTTGGCATTGTCCGTTTTTGTGACAAACGATACACAAAACCACAACCTAGTTCACCTTCAGAATAACAAACGAAACTACTGGTGAACCCTCGAGGCATCAGAACATCCCGATACGACCAATGACATCACTAGAGCCGATTGTCACTCCCGTGACACTGACAGATTATTTCAACCCTAAAACACACCCCATGACCAATACCTGACCTCTATCCTCAAAAGTACAGCACCACCGATTCTTCACCCCATCAGCGGACAAAATAACCTAAGCCAAGCTTTGTTACAGCCAGTTTCCCAAGCAATTAACAACCCACAGCGATTCGTACAGATGCTGCCGCCGATAACACCTCAAACCATCACCAGTGCACCGTCTTCGTTGCAAACACCGACGTTTCAACAAAACGATACACCCAACGGGCCACAAACGATACTCCAGATGCCACCTTATGAAACATTTTCGGTAGGGGCCACACTACCACCAATGCTACAACAATACCAAACACCTCCCATGACTCAACAACTCTCTATCCCATTTCACCCACAAAACTTCTACGGCCTGGCACTAACAAACTTGGCGGCATACAACATGCTAGTCCAACCATACTTGACACTTCAACAACCCATTTACCGCTATACACAGTAAACCCTAAACCAAGATTACCTCTCAAGAAGCATAACCTCGTCGTTCGTAAAAGAACTCTTGTAACACTCTAAAAATTCAAACCAATTTAAACTTTTCAAAAATAACCTAGTTTCGTTAAATTATTACAAAAAGGTTTTCAATACAATTATTATCAGAGTCTTCCCAGAACCATATCGTAAAACATAAACATGAGGAGCGGTACGATCACGCCTTCGCCTTGCCACGGTCTCCTGAAGTACCTGAAAACATTAAACCACAACTGTAAGCCCGAAAGCTTGGTGAGATACCCCCAAAATACCAACCACATATACCATACATAACATATCATAACCAAACAGAACAGCCATACATTTTGGGTCTACTGTGTGACTGGTCCACCGCACCGGGCCTTCAGTCCACCTGGTCCACTCTCTGAGTCTACAGTATGACTAGTCCACCCGCATCGAGCCTTCAGTCGGCCTGGTCCACTCCCCGAGCCTCAGCACGTCTGGCCCGCCCTCGTGGAGCCTACAGCCTATTCGGACCGCTCGTTAGGCCTTCGGGATAACCGGTCCCCCTGGGTTTGTTGGCCTACAGCACAAAGCAGGACCCGCCTCAACCCAACCCCAGTCAAACAACTATGTGCACATAAACATACAATCATATAACAATTCACATCCAATCAAACCGATCTAGCAGATCACATAACATAACATACTCTAAACAGGATACCGACCTAACCGGTCACTAGCATAACATCATCCTATATACCAGGATACCGACCTTAACCAGGTCTCTAACATATACCATCCTAACTACCAGGATGCAAACATAGCAAAGCAACAACATAACAACGATACCCGAATTACAATCCGATAAAGGGCCGACCTTGGTGCCTTCAACCATATTGATATAGTGAGGATAACTCACCTTGCAACTGCTGACTGAAAAGATAAGATCACACACTGCTCCAACCTCTGATACGAACTCCACCACTAACAACACCAAAAGACTGAACTCCATAAATACCAAATTACCCCTGGAAGTCAACTGGTCAACTCTTGGTCAATGTCAAAGTCCTCAGTCAAAGTCAAACTTCCTGACTGACCCTATTAGTCAAGTCGCCCCAAGACTCACCGAGTCCCACGAACTCTAAGCCACTTCCTGCTCAACTCAACGAGTCGTTCCCTTGACTCACCGATTTACAGCTCAACCAGGAAAGGTTAGGACCTCAAGACCAGACTCGCCGAGTCCAAGAACAGACTCGCTGAGTCCAACGCTATCTTCAACCAACTCGCCGAGTTGTTCTTCCAACTCGTCGAGTTGCTTCCTATCTTCAAGCAACTCGCCGAGTACACCCGTGTGACTCGCCGAGTACCACTAGCTCTTAACCCATGCAGAGGCTTTCCAAGCCATGCAAGGTCTCAAATCCATAGATCTACTCTTTTACAAGCCATCCATCACGTAAAGTGGCAAACTTTACGTGAATCCAAAGAGATCTAAGCATAATATACTCTAAGGCTAGGGTTTGGGACAAAAGAACTTCACCAACAACTCTTGAGCATAGACTTTATGGCTTTCTGGATCATTAACAACCTAAATCTGAGGTAGCAACCTCAGATCTTACACCAAACTTGAGATGGACCTCATTCATACCACAAAACCCCACAATTGATAGATCTAGATGCACAAAAGCTCAAACAACAGATTATTACCTCAAATGAAAGCTCTAACTGAAGAATAAGCTAAATCTATGCAAAGCCCCTTGCTCCAACCTTCTTGTT